TATATTTTTCCAAGCACACAACAGTTTAAAGCAAAGTTTAGTTTGAAAAGAATGTGCAGGAAGGATTGAAAAGCATGTTAACACGGTAATGTAGGATTGAGTTAATTATCTGACGCATGCATATACACACCAGGAACCTGGAAACTTACTGAATTACAAAAAACATTTAAAAAACAAACATGTTTCATTGAGATATATACAACAATGAATATTAGGAACTATATTTATAGGGGTGTAAATCACATCCATCATGGCGATTCGATTCAGTATCAATTCCCTGACCCAACGATTCGATTATTTTCGATACTCAAGAATACACCACGATTCGATTCGATTAATCTGTTAATTTATTTTTTTTTTTTAACACCTTACAGGCTAAACAAGGTTTCAAGTTTGAAATAAATCAATGAAAGCTGTAATATCGTTATGCATTTTTTTGTTTAGAAACAACAGCAAATAACAGAAGTAGAAACGTTGCATCAAAAAATACTGGAAAAATACTGCACATAATCAGTGCAATGAGTGCAATGAAATACCTCAGCTCCAGACGTCCCCGCCCCCTCCACAGACGCTCCGCTGCACCTCTCCCAGATTGTAGCTGACCGCAGACAGGAGGCTGGCTTGTTTTGCTTTTATGACCAAAATTGCGGAAAACAACTCGTGAAGTTTGACCCACTAGAAGAGCGTGTAGCACAGACCACGCTTCAATATTCAGCATAATTTAAAAATGTCTGTGTCAGGCTATCTGCAACACACTGCTGTAAGAGTATAACCAGGAAGCGAGGTAGGAGGGCAAAATAGGTTTAGCGCCACCGCAGCATGGGAGGAGAATTACGCCCAGGAGCAAATGGATAAAAATAGACCAGAGGGGGAAAAAACACATGAATCGATTCTCTTGCGGGCGTGTCGATGCATCGGATCATCGGCTGTTAGATCGATGCATCGATACAAAACGATTGTTATTTAAACCCCTATATATTTATCAAACATTATACTGGGCAAGTAAAAATTGTTTCTGGGCAAATGAAATGTAAAAATCATTGCCAACCCCTGATGGGAAAATTTAAAACATAAACAAAAGTGGCTTGAAAACAAGGAATTCGGGACATGGCTGCAGCCTGTCGACGGTGAAGATGACAAAGGAATTTTGCCGTGTTTTTTTTATTTATATATATATATATATATCTATATATATCTATATATATCTATATATATCTATATATATCTATATATATATATCTATATATATATATCTATATATATATATATCTATATATATATATCTATATATCTATATATCTATATATATATATCTATATATCTATATATCTATATATATATATCTATATATATATATATATCTATATATATATATCTATATATCTATATATCTATATATCTATATATATATATCTATATATATATATATCTATATATATATATCTATATATCTATATATCTATATATATATATCTATATATCTATATATCTATATATATATATCTATATAT